CAGGTCTGGACCACTCGTGAATTTTGTTCGTATCTGAAAAAAATCTTAGAATATGAAAACATTGGTGAATGCCACAAATTCTCCTAAACCACTCGTACGCACAACTTAAGAACAAATCTATGCGTACGAACGGTTCTTGCATGAGGCCCAGTGATCTGATTCCCTGTTGAGTTTATAAGTTTGTTTAACTACAAAGAAAATATTCTCCTTTATTATAGTTTCATTTTAATTAAGAGAGGCAGAATATCAATGAGCAGAACAGGCTCCTACAGACTGGTTATAGAACATGAAGCACACAGTTTACAGTTTAATTCAGTCAGTTTGTTCTAATGTCTCATTGCGTCTCCAACAGAAGACCTCCTCGAGAAGAAACCCGCTGAAAAGTTTCCGCTATTTTGGACAGAAAAAGAGAGGATCCAAAGCTTCATCATAGATGCTGGACAACAGGTGGATGTTGGACATTAGAGACAGACTTCAGGAATATGAACTGGGTCCAGCTGTTGGTCCACATGAGACTCTAGGAGTCTCTTATTGAGACTCTTCTAAACAGTGAGGAGGTGACGCAGGCCAGCAGACAAAGCCAGACTGGTAATACTAATTGATACGGACAGAAACAGTCTGAGTCTGGGTTCAGTCCAGTCCTTCCAACAGAATGTCGACAGACCTTTTTAAACATGTTGAAATAATCATCTAAATGTGTTGATTGGGATGTTTTATTTTCCTACACTGCCTGTGTAGTTCTAAACATAAAATGATTTTTTTTGTCTTAAAGTAAATAAAACAAAATCTGACCTGAAGACTGCTTTATAAAACAATTCACCATCAAGAGACAGCTCAGTTGAAACATATGAGGATGATGAGGCATCATTGGGGAATGGGATTACTGGTACTAACTAAAACTAACAAGAGAGAAACTAAAGAGGACATAATAAACCAAGAAAAGAAAACTAAATAGAAATGCACAAAGGAAAAAAAAAAGCCAGAAAAAAAACTACGAAACTAAATAATGAACAAATCAGTAATATGGCAAGACCTTTTGATCAATAATTAATTCAGGAGGCAAACAGCATATGATGAAACCTGAACAGAACTAAAAACACAGATCATGATAGGAAAAAATATTCAATAGGCCTAAGAGTAAAAAAGTATTTGATAAAAAGGCTACCCAAGTACTGAGTAACTGAGCAGAACATAGCAGACCAAATATGTCCAGTGACAACTGACTGTTTACTTCGTTTTCACCTTCAAATGTGTCAGCAGCTCAGCAGATAGAAACTAACATCAGGTGAACAAAGCTTGTGTTCAAACAAGAATTTTCATTTGAACACATTGTAGATGTGTCTGTATCAGCTGCAGATTTGGTTAAAACATGTTTGTTCTTCATTTAGTAAAGTAGCCTATATTCAGATGTTTTACTAGATTAAAAGTATTCTTTATAGTAATATTAATCAAGTAAGAGTAAAAAGTATGGAGTAAAACTACTCCTAAAAGTACAGTTTTTTCCCAAAAAGTTACTCAAGTAAATCTCATCAAGTAAAAGTAACTATGCACTCCAAGACACTTGGAATTTGACTCGTGTGGATTTGATTAATTTTGTTATTTGTCATTTCTGTGCTAAAAAAAACTCCAGGTCTACGTATTTATATGACATTGATGGTAAGAGTACCGGCACTTATTTGTTTCCACTTAAAGCACTGGTTGAATGTAATGTCTGTTAATCTTTCATAATAACCGTTTCATCGTAATATTTTAAATTCAGCTCAAACTGAAAAATCCCTGTGCCATAATGCTGCTCAGATTGTTCCATAAATTAAGGAGCATATTATGTCTTAGTGTTTTGGTTGTTTTTAGAGCTGATTGACCTGATGTGATCAAACTTCAAACTAAAAAGAAAGCTGTGTTCTGGTAATCTAACCAAGTTCTGACAAAATTATATTATTCCCGAGAGGATTTCACTAAGAGGGTTCACTAAAATCCTTTGTAGAAGGATCATGTTTTCATAATACTGCAGAGGATGGCTGTTTACTGGTCTTTAATCAGCTGAGGGAACAACTTCATTTTACTGAGATGTTCAGGTAATAACTCAGCAGGTCACTCCACCTTCAGCTTCATCAAACAACAAAACTTGCAGATTGTGCAAAATTTCAAACCACCATAGAGAACTAAAAATACTTCTGAAAGCTTGATCATTTACAACACATTACTGTGGTGTTTTAGAAAACTTTATTTTAATACAAAAGACAGTTTAAGTGAGGCCAACACTGAAGCCGTTACATAAACAAAAGTTCAACAGACTATTAAATGAACACACGTCTCACTGGAACACTACATGTTTGAAGGGATACTGAGCCAATCAAACATGTGCTGGAGTCTCTGCTCAGCAGATTGTTTCTGGGTTAAAGACTTTTATCAAAATATTTACAGGATCGTCTGTAAACCTGCTAAAAAGACGGCATCACTTCCTGTCACAAAAGTTGTGAAACTAATGCCCCTTTTCCACTAGTGCCACACAGTGTAGTGTCGGTACAGTCAGTGTTGGAATGGGTCAGTTCAGGTGCTTTTCCATTGACGTTCCAGTCAGGTTCCAGTGGATGTGTTTTGGGTGGCTGGTGGAGGTAGTTTTTGGGTTTTTCAAAAAAGAATTAATGCGCAAAATGAGAGATGGAAACACGTTCGCCAAATAAGTTCTGAAATTGTAAAAGTTCGCTAAAAATTTGAATTAAAGTTGGATGGAAACACGACTAATGTCGCTGCTACAATTGGAAAAAAACGGCGCCTCGAGTTGTTGTAAAGGCTGCTCAGACACAACCAGCGACTCCACCCCCTAGCCAATCAGTGACGAACAGTGTTCTGATGTTGCATTTTGGTGTCGACTGGGACTGCTTGGAACCACAACAAAGTAGGTAATAAAAAAAGGGCTGGTTCCAAGAATCTGGCCCAATGGAAAAGGCTTGGAACCGTACCGACACTAGTGGAAAAGGGGCATATAGGTCTGTGTATAGAAGTGTGGTTAATGGGGACGTGTCTATAGGTAGATGATTAGATGAATGTGTGATAATCAGTCAATACTGTATTCAAAATGATAGTCCTGTGTGGGCTCAGAGTCCAGGTTGATGCTGTCAAATGGGTTCTCTGTCACGCTGTCTACAGGGAACCAGGAGTCGTACCAGGAGGTGGTTTTCTCAGTTTCAGGTGGTTTGGTGGTTGTAGTGGTTGTAGTGGTGGTGGTGGTGGTGGTGGTGGTTGTAGTGGTGGAGGTCCTGGCTCGTATTCTCTGCAGTCTGCGTAGACGCAGGAGTCTCAGCCGCCTGAGTCGCTCTGCGTTCTGAGCGTTCGTTCCTGCAGAGATGCTGGGGTCTGTTGGGGCGCTCGACGGCGTCGTTTTCACCACCTTTGGTTTGGTGACCAGTCGAATGGGCTTGTTCCCGTTCAGCGCCATGATCTTCTTTATGCGGTCCCAGTTGGATTTGGCCAAGGTGAAGCTGCAGGGAGTGGCTCCGGTGTCGTAGCCCACCACACAGAGTCGTGTCTGGGGGGTGTGGCCGTCTGCTTTGGCAGTCACCTTGTACTCACCTGGATTCAGCAGCCTCCAGTAATCCCCTCCAGCAGCTGAAATAAACAGTTTAGGAAGATCACAGGTTAGACTGGAACAATTCATACTGATGAACACAACAAGAAGTAGTAAACGTGTCAATTTTTAACAGGGCAATATTGTGTAAAATCAACTTTTTTGAGTTTTATATCATGTTCAATGTTATCCTCTTATAAAAAACATGCCCAAAGCCTTGCTTTGACTCATTCATGCATGTTTGAGAAATCCTGCCGTGTTTTTAGGAAGCCATGCTGAGGAGCAAAACAACAGGTGGGGACCAGAAACGCCTTTTGGGACCAGAAATGCCCCTGGGACGTGCCT